CTCAGTTTTTTTTTCGAGATTTATAAGTAAATTAAGCAGAACTCTGTGTATTTCTTTTTGTTGTTCGTTGGTTTGATTCAACCAACCGACGACACAAAAGTTAATTTCATGATTTTTCAAAATCCCAGCAAAGCCAAAAAGAATTCATTATTTTAACAGCCGGCAAAAATGTGAAATTCATCTGAAATCATAGATTAAATTAAAATAATTTTTTTCTAAAGATGGAACTAAGTTCTTGGATTTGAGTTTGTTTTTTAACTTTAATAGAAAGGGAAATGTTTAGAAAAATCTCTTTAAAAAATGTATAGTTTTCCAGCTTAAAATAAAATGTTAAATCTCTTATATAATCACTAAAGAACTTATGAGAAACTACATAAATTGGCTAACATTTTGAAATGTGTCTAATGACCACTGTAAAACCCAAACACAGTGTGCAAAAAAAGCGTTTAAAAGTCACAGCAAAAAGCCATCTCTAATGCCTTTTTATATTTGCCGACTTGGCCAAGTCTCAGTAATAACCATAATTTTTGTGGCGAGACCAAAACGAATCTGTTGCTTTTGGTCGGGTGGATGGGCCAGCCGCGGCGAATTGCACACTTTTTCGTTGACTTTTGCGTGGCCAAACAAAAAATAAAAAATAAAATAATACAAAAAATAAAAAACAAGTAAACTTCGAAAGAAACACGAAGAAAAAAAGGCTCAAAGCGTTGCAGATTGCATTCGCTGTGCCGAGAGCCGATCATCATGATGATGATGATGATGATGATGATGATGATGGCCAAAGCAATGCCCTTTTGCATTAATAATACATTTTAGACACTTGGCCCGGCTAAGCTTATGGCTTAAAAACACTGCATTAAGTCACAATAATTTATTTTGAAACATGCTTATTTGTAGAATAATTTATTTAAAATTTTGGGTGTGTGTATAGCAAATGAAAATGTGGTAACTGTAGCAGGATAATAATTATCGAATATTTTACCATCTCAAAGTATCAAAATATCGTTTTGTTATCGATATATTTTACGTGTTAACAAAAAGGATATTTCAAAGGATATTTTTCTCTTTATAAAATTTGTAAAATATTGTAGAAACCTTTTGATTTTGTTGCATATTGAAGACAATGTGCCAGCCTTTTCTGCTCCCACTCGTGTGGCAAAGCGGCTCTATTAGGCTGATTGCCCTTCCGTCTCGCTTTTTTCTCTGTTCGAGTTTCGTTGGCCATAATGATGATTATAATGGCCTGGGACGATGATGAGGTTCACTTGCCGGACTGCATCATTAAATTATTATTGCTGGCAGCTATTTTTCAGAGAGCCGCAGCGCACAAAAGCCACAAAAATTGGAAATCGCGTGTCTAATGCTCCATTCGAGATGCCCGCCGGTCGGGATCTCCGGCTCCATCTTTCGGTATCTTTGGGTTCTCGGTTCTCGGTTCTCGGTTCTTTTTTTTTTTTTGTGGCCTAATGTGGCTTAATTATACAACAACAAAACTGTCTGCTTACTGTTACTGTTAGCAGCCAAGAACGTTAACAAAGCGAGGCCCCGGCCATCAAATCCATGTCAAAAGTCCCGCTCTGGGAGTCCGAGTCCAGGTCCAAGTCCCCTTTGGAGATTGGCCATCGAAAGGAGATGAGACTCCGAGTCTGAGACCCCTGCCTTTGCCTTCTTTTTCCAGAGAAAACGTCTCTCGATAATTTGATGCAGCTTTTTTTGCACTCCTGTTTTCCTGCCTGGTTTTTATTCCTTTCATTTCTTTCCTTTTTTTTGCCGTCTGGCCCACAACTTCCTTTTTTCCCTGAGTTCCCCTCTTGTGTTCCTGTGGTCCTGTTTTTTTTTCCCCTCGCTGTCTTGTCTAAAATTCCACAAACTCATAAATGTTGATGTGTCCAGTCCCAGGTTCGTCATCGTCATCAATGTCGGGGGTATGATGGACAATGGACACTACTCAGCACGGCAAAGAAAAAGAGATCAGTTTTTAATAGGGTTATACATCGGGAGGGAATATGATATGATATATCTGCTAAAATATCAAAATATCACATTTATATTATTATATCATTAGATATCTTTCGATTATTCTGGTTTGATATAACAAACAGACTATTAATTAATTTAATATATAGCAATATTGCAATATAGATTCTTGTTTAAAAAAAAGGAAAAACAGAGGGTGATTTGGGGAAACTATATACTCTTGAAGGTAGATCATGGAAATCATCATAACTAAGCCAACAATACATTAATTTCAATTCGGAAAGCTGTTCTGTGCTAGTTTTTATCAGGTTAATAAATCTGCATAAATAATTTAATATTTCTAAAAATTCAAATTTGTATCGATTTTTTAAATTTTAACGATGTAACCCCTTATAAAATTGTGCAAATTTGGAAAAAATTGCATTTTTGCGGGACATACCTAGATCGACTCGGATTTTTGTGCTGATCAAGAATATATATGATTTATGGGGTCGGAAATGACTCCTTCGCGAGTTAGAAGCTTCTGACTAAAGGTCTAATACCATTTCTTGAGTCAATATTTATCAATAATTTTCTATGATAATTTTTCTATAAATCAAATTTTAAATAATTCATAACTCAGCCAAAAAAGCCTTAATTTTAATTCGGAAAACGGTTCTATGTTAGTTTTTATAAGGGTAAAAAATCAGCATACTCAATTTAAAATGTTAAAAAATTAAAATTTTGGATCAATTTTTGACAATTTTAAAATTATAAAATTGTGCAAATTTTTTAAAAATAAAATTTTTACCGTACATGGCTAGTTCGATTCGGCTGTTGATGCTGATCAAGAATATATATGATTTATAGGGTCGGAAATGACTCCTTTGTGAGTTACAAGCTTCTGACTAAAATTATAATACCCAGGAAAGCGTATAAAAATAGTTTATATTATTGATACTTGTTCTATAGGAAACCAAGTAAAAACTATAAATATTTTCCAATTATTTTCCCGATATTTTTATATAGTTTAGGGGCAATTTAATATTGTATTAAAAGTACTAAAATAATGTACAAGTTGTAGAGGCTTTCAATCCTCACAGAGACCTCTATATCTCTTACAATTTTCCTTCAGTGTCTGGGATTTATTTCGCATCTCAGCTGAAGGGGGAATGTGTGGCTTCGTTTGAAGTTATTAGATTGCATGGCTGGTAATTGACAATTAATTGCCATCGACAGGCTGCAAATGGAAATGGAATGAACTCCACTCCAAGCTGGACAAGTCTCCATGTCTCGTTTTTCTCTGGGTTTCCATGTGTGAAGTCTGACGCAAGTTTTCACACCGCAGCATAATGCGGAAAAACGTGTGAGATTGTTAATGGAAAATAAACAAGAAAGACTTTTAAATATTAGAGTTTCAAACAATAAACACAGGGCGAAGCTGGTGTGAAAAAAAAACATAATGGACGCTTCTTTTTCTCAGACTTTACTTTCGAAAAAAAATATAATAAACTATTAAATGTATGGTGGGAATTGAAGTGCATGAATTAAAAATATATACTTTTACATAAACAAAAAAGAAGCAAACAAAAGCCATAAAATCAAATGTATATATACATTATTTCCAGCAAAATCCCTGAAGCGGATAGCTGAAAACAAAACAGCAGATAATCATTTACATTACACGATCTAATTTTGCAATTTCAGCTAATTTAATATCAGGCATTAGCCGCCGTGTAAACACGCTGCAATTGTTGCAAATGGCAAACATTTGTTAAATTAGCTTTGCCGACTGACTTTCGGCGGAACATCAAAGCGAACCAAGTTTTTATTGCAAAATTATAGGCAGAGAATCATTGTGTTTCCCTTACTTTTCCTTAATGTTTCTTTTGTTGTATTTTTTGTTTTTTAACACCAAATTTCGATCTAATTATTTCGTGCTTTCAAGTCTGCCGGCGGGTTTCGCCGAAAAGCAATACAATTAAATGTTGTTAATTGATAAAACCTCACAAGATCGAGTGGAATTTTTTTCCGATATCTATATATATCTAATAATTATATGCACGAGGATTGTGAAACAATTGTTATTATTTATTAACATATTATTGATTTGTTTAGAGCATTTCTCTTATTTGTGATTTCAATTCGCTGCTTTTGCTTTTCCAGTTCCTCACTTTGATTTTCGATTTGTTTATACATATTTATATTTGTAGATTCTTTTCGATATACTTTGTGGGCTTTTGATGTTTGTTTTCGAGGTGTGTGTTTTAGTTTTAATTTGGTATGAGTTTAAATAATGTTGTACCCGTGCTAGGTATTATAATTTTAGTCTGAAGCTCAAAACGCAGTGAAGGAAGCATTTCCGACCCTGTAAATCATATATATTCTTGATCAGCACAAAAATCCGAGTCGATCTAGGTATATTCCGCAAAAATTTAATTTTTTCCAAATTTTCATAATTTTATAAGGGGTTACATCGGTAAAATTGATAAAAATTTCAAATTTTTAGCATTTTTTATTGAGTATGCAGATTTGTTAATCTTGTAAAAACTAACATAGGACTGCTTTCCGAAGTAAAATTAAGGCTTTTTTGGTTGAGTTATGAATTATTTACAATTTTGTTTATAGAAAAATTATCATAGAAAATTATTGATAAATATTGGTTCAAAAAATGGTATTAGACCTTTAGTCAGAAGCTTCTAACTCGCGAAGGAGTCATTTCCGACCCCATAAATCATATATATTCTTGATCAGCACAAAAATCCAAGTCGATCTAGGTATATCCCGCCAAAATTTATTTTTTTTCCAAATTTTCATAATTTTATAAGGGGTTTAAAATTGATAAAAATGTTATATTTTTAACATTTTTTATTGAGTATGCAGATTTGTTAATCTTGTGAAAACTAACACAGAATTGCTTTCCGATTTAAAATTAATGCATTTTTGCCTTAGTTATGATCAATTTTGTTTACCCTTAATTTGCGTATTTTTCTCGTTTAAGAATCAACTAATTTCCCAATTTTTCTCTCAAAATTTCCCCACAGATCGCCAAGCTTCTGCCCTTGATCGAGTCCGGTTGCTCTCGGCGCGCCCGCTTCCTGCTCTGCTCGGCCCTGTTCCCGCTCTGCACGCCGGATGTGCCGCGTCCGGTGACGCCCTGCAAGTCCCTCTGCGAGACCGTCCAGAGCGAGTGCTCCCAGAATGCTCCGCCGGAGCTCATGGAGCTGTGGCCGCCGTTCCTGGGCTGTGCGGGTCTGCCGCAGCCGGAGAAGCACGAGCTGTGCATGCGAATACCCGAGGAGGGGGAGGCACCCACGACGAGTCCTCCCTCGGGTCCACCTGAGGGTCATCTGGCGGCTTTATCGACGGCAGACAGAGAGATCTCCTTGCCACAGCAGCAGCTCCAGGCATATCGCTTCTGGAACAGTGCAGGAGGAGGAGGCGGCGTCGCAGGAGCAGGAGGATCTGCAGCGGGCTCGGGATCAGGAGGAGGAGGTGCCACCCAGGGACTAGCTTCATTGACAATCCTCTGTCCGCAGAACTTCAGCGGCAGCCACCTCGATCCGGATGTATGTGTGCCGCAGTGCCAGCGAGATGCCTTCCACACCACCGCCCAGAAGAAGCTATCGGAGAGCCTGATCCTGGGCCTCTCGGCCGTCTGCTTCGTGCTCACCCTCTTCGCCCTGGTCACCTTCTGGGCGGAGCCCACTCGCTTCGGATATCCAGAGCGACCCGTGCTCTTCCTGTGCCTGTGCTACAACCTGTTCAGCGTGTGCTACCTGGAGAGGATCGTGTTCCACAATCAGGCAAGGAGTCTGGCCCAGCTGCAGGAGCAGGGACGCCCGGCAGGCTTAAGATCGGCCTGCTTGCTGAGCCCCCCGTGCCTGGCCTCGTATATAACCACCTCTTACCTGAGCTTGTGCGCCGCCAGCTGGTGGCTCATCTTCGCCCTGTGCTTCTACCTCTCGTCGCACAAAAAGTGGTCCAGTGAGGCGCTGGAGAAACGCTCCGGGCTGTTCCATGTCCTGGCCTGGGTGCCACCGCTGGCTCCTCCGATAGCTGCCCTGCTCCTGGACCGTGTGCGACCCAGCGAGCTGACCGGAATGTGCTACGCCCCGGGATTTGTGGAGCTGCCCGCTTTGGTGCTGCTGTTCCTGGGCCTGTATTTTACGCTACGCGCCTCCAGGTCGCTGCATTCGCTGCAGCAGCAGCTCCAGCCGACGCTTGCCCTGGCCCACCATCGTTTCGGCCAGATTCGGAAGCGTTTCGTCATCTTCTCGCTGCTGTATTTCGTACCCACGGCCGCTGGAGTGGTGGCGGCACTGTGTGAACGCTACGCGGACTCGGTGGTGCCCAGCTGCTCCACGCCGGAGGACTGTGCCTCGCCCATGCCGCTGAGTGCCTGGCCGGCGCTGCTGAGGATCTTCTTCCAACTGGTCGGCGGTACACTAACCGGCCTGTGGGTTTGGTCCCGCAAGACCTGCGAGAGCTACCGGAATCGCCTGGTAGCCGGCGGCGCTGGAGGAGGAGGAGTCGGTGGTACCCACACCTCGGCGCTGATGAACCCAACCAAGTCGGGAGCGGTGGTTGGAGCGGGGCCGCTGCCCAAGAAGCATCTGTATACGAGCGGGAAGTCCATGCTGCCAAGCGGTGGCATTACGACGCCGCTCTACGCGGGCATCAGCTTCCACAACGTGCCCGTCTATAACCCGAATCAATCGAGGGTTTAGGTGGGGGTCACCGAGGGTTTACTGTACCAGGAACGATCCCCTCATCATGAAGCATCACCAGCAGAAGGCTTTAAGCTCTGATCTGAGTACGTGGACCTCCATGTATGCGTAGTTTGTAGGAATACCTGAAATGTGTTAATAGTTTTAGAGTCAATTGTAATTATTATTATTATTATAAATAGTCTTAGTTTTCTTAATAGTTCTTTAGCTTATTTTTAAGTCTGTACATAGAAAAAATGTGTTTTTTTTTACTATAATTTGAATTAAGCTAAAAAGTTTAATTTAATTGATAATGCTAATGAAATTGTGAATATTTTGTAATAGAAATGAACTCTAGATGTGTTTTACTGGGGAATGGCTGGAGTTTCGAACCTTTGGATCTTGTCCTGGAAGTTAGCTTTGAACCCAACCACAGCAAGTGGCGGGAACTGATTTAAATTTGAATTCAAATTATGTCGATAACATTCGTGGCGGCAATCGATCGTCCGTTTAAATTTGAATTCAAATTTGGCGGTTTAATTCACATATTTTCCTATTTTGTTGTAATCTGTATATTGTTGTTGTTGTCAAGCGTAGTTGTTGTAAAAGAGTTGTTGTTGTTGTTGTCGGTGAAACCCCGGCTTCAATCGCTTCAATTTCAGTACAAATTCCTTCATTTCTGGATCTGGAGTACCAGGCGAACAGAATCAGCAGCAAGCAGATTTATTTTCGAGCAAAAGCTCTCGAATCAGAGATGTCACTTTAGCTATATTGTATTTGAGCTTTCAATCTAGCTAGAAAATAGTTAAGTTGTCACCCCTATATGCAAAAGCTATATAGTGAAGTTTCGAACTTTCTTTGGATTTTGTCCGGGGAAGTTAGCTTAGAACCCAACCACAGCAAATGGCGGCAAGTGATTTAAATTCAAATTCAAATTTATCGATTAACTTGTGTGGCGGGAACTGATAATCTTTTAAATTCAAATTCAAATTGGGTCGTTAGCATACATGGCGGCAACAGAGGCTTGTATCTCACGAAGGAGTCATTTCCGACCCTATAAACCTTATATATTCTTGATCAGCATCAACAGGCGAATATTTCTAGGCATGTAGAAAAGAACAATTTTTTGGTAATTTTTTTTCACAATTTTATAAGTTATAATTTTATCGTTAAAAATGTCAAAAATTGATAAAAATTAAAATTTTTTTTTTATTTTAAACTGAGTATGCAGATTTATTAGCGCAATTTAAACTAGCATTTCACCGTTTTCCGAATTTAAATTAATGTTTTTTTGATTTAGTAATGAGTTTATTTTTTGATTTTTTTTTGTAATTTTTATATACAAATTATTGATAAACACCAATCAAAAAATGGTTTTATAATTTTAGTCAGAGGCTTGTATCTCACGAAGGAGTCATTTCCGACCCTATAAACCTTATATATTCTTGATCAGCATCAACAGGCGAATCTTTCTAGGCATATAATAAAGAAACATATTTTTTTGGCCATTTTTTTTTAAATTTATAAGGGGTTACATCGTTAAAAATTTCAAAAATGTATAAAAATTTAAATTTTTTATGCAGATTTGTTAAACCTATAAAAAATACCACAGAAAAGCAATCCGAATACAAATTAATGCATTTTTGACTAAATTATGATATTGGAAAATGTTAAATTCCTCAAAAAAAAAAAATTAGCGCATCAAAATATATATATTTAAAATACTTAGTATATGTAACATCCTTAGTTGCTTGTATATAAATACGATTCTCACGATGCGATGATAGGCATAACCCATCCTTGTACGAAAGTAGAAGCTCGGAGAATGCCAAGGAGCCAAGGAGGGGACTTCATTTAATTGCAACAAAAAGGTTAAATTGTTGCTATTGTCTCTGGATCCAAGCCGAGTGGCAATTAGAAGGAAAAATGCTTAATGACAGAGCTTCCAGCGTTGATTGCCAGCGTTTTGCTTGACCCCCTCTCCCCCCAAACGCACCTGAGCCACTCAGCCACGCCGCCTGGGAGCCAGCTGCTTCTCTTCCTCCTCATGCTCCTGCTGCTCCTGCTGCTCCAATCCTCCACCTGTGGCTCTGCGTGTTCCCCCTTTCTGTTTTATTCTCTCTTTGTATTTTATTCAGTTTTTTTACGAGTTTTTTTAGCCCTTTTCCAGCCGCCCTGAGAGTGTCACACAACGTTACGTGAAAGGTAAGAATTGTTAAGAGGAAAAAGGTGGAATGATCTATTCCCTAAAAACATTTTAATTCAGGGAAATGAAATATATAGAAAGTTAAATATACTATGCAAGAAAATATGTAATTCAATTAAAAGGAAAAACTTTTATATACAAATATATTTTCTTTTTATAAATTTAAAAAGAGATTACCTTGAACTGGTCTTTGAGATTTGATTATTTGTTAAACCAGAATGTAAACCTATAATATAATAATGTATTACTACATTATATATTATAATTTTAATTAATATTTTAATACTAAAATATACTCTAAATTATATATAGAGTATGGCCAAGAAAACATGAGTTTTAACCGAGCTACAATTAATTTGATTGAAGCTGCCACACCGCGTGCCGGCTACGTTTCTATCCAACAAATTGCTGGCCAACAAGCCGAAACACAACTACAACAACCTGCAACTTGCAACTTGCTTGAAGCAACAACAACAAAGGCAACAATAAAAAATAAAGAAAAAAAACTAAGAAGCACAGGCGGCGGCAAAAAGCAACTGTGCAGCAAGCGTGCAATTAACTCTTGTGCGCCAAGATCAAAGCGATTAATGCCGGCACTGCCCCTCGACTTGAATTCTGGGACTTGGACTCCGACTCGGACTTGGACTTGGTCTTGGACTTGGACTTGGTCTTGGACTTGGCCCAGAGCCCAGAGTAGTGATCGGCGGGCGGGAAGAGCCAAGATCCGAGAAGGGGCGGCCCCAGAGAGCGATTTCAGAGCCAAGCCAAGCCTGACGCTTTATCGTCATCTTCATCGCTGTTTTGTCGTTGCCCACATTTACACAGCGAGAAATTTGGAAAACCTATGACCTTAAATAAAAATATACTAAGTAGTATAAAACAAGAGTTAATTCCAATATTTTTGATAGATTTTAGATAGAACCTTAGTAAGGAAAAGCTAAAAGATTTACAAGATTTTAATTATATTTAAACCATAAAAAATATTTGTATAATAAATATACGATCAAAAATATAATAAAACATATTTCATACACTATAAAAAAATACTACAGTATAACATACACTTTTAAGGTAACTTTTACCCATTCTCTCAGTGAAAAGAAATAGAAAAGCGGCAAATGGGGGGACAAAGCGAGTTGGCCAAGAGCCAATAGCTCGTTGGCCAAGAGCAAACAGGTAAGCCAAGAACCAACAGGTAAGGCGGCTAAGAGCCGGCACTTCTTGGCCAAAATAGCCCCAATCGTTGGCCATTTGCGGGTGTTAAATGCGGCTAAGAACTCTGCGGCCTGGGCAATTTTCCGAAATAAATGCATAGCACGGCGCACACAGGGAACGAATTGAGAGACAAATGCACCACGAAGTGCTTACCAAATTGGTCATTAATTTTCGGCCTAGAAACCGGTTTGAGCCAAACTTGCAGCAGCCTTTTTCCTTCTATTTTTTTCGAATTCTTAATATGGAGAAGGAGAAGATAAATAATATGAAGTAACTCGGGTTACGGAAATCATATTTCTTGGCTGGTTTTTTTATGACTTAATTATCAGTGCTTAAATCAATTTAAGAACATTATTAAGTAAGTTAAGAAATTGAGAAAGTTTGTAAATAAAATTATAATTAAACAATCTAAGGGTGTGCAGGTTTAAAACCCTGAAATTGTTGTATCCTCTGTATGTATGGGTATATTTCTATAAACATTTTAAACAATAAATTATTATTATTATCGTGATTAAAATCATTCTTTACATTAAATAATTAAATAAATATTATTATCTCTGTTTAGTAAATAATAAAATTAAACCATTAAATAAATATCATAAAGAGTAATAAAAATGCAATAAAAATACTTCGTTTTGACGGATTACGTTTAGAATAAACAGTTTTTACTTAAAAATATGAAAAAAAATTGTTAAAAATTTGTAAATAAAATATTATATTGTTTAGTTAAAACATTTAAAGGTTTTTTTTAAATAATTTTAAACATTAATATAAGTAATAAAATCTAATAAAAGATCTTGTAATAAAGAAATTATTGCATATGTTTTATTTATTAAAGGAAAAATGCATTATATTTAAATTCCTTCCAAAAAATAATTTTTTTCCGGCTATTGCCAACACTTTAACGTATCAATTTAGAAGATTTAAGTTCATATTAATAATTTATTTGTTTGTTAAATATTATTTTCCTTGCTTTCCCGGTTATTGCATATTTTCGTGCTGATCTCAAAAGACTCTCCTCCAGCTGCCGCTTAGTGGCGCCACTAACCCTCGGATGGTGCCCCGATTTGTGTCCAGATTTCGAACAGATTTATCGATATCCCGATAGGCTCGATAAGCCGCCAGCTGAGCAGAAGTTTAGCGTCTTTGGCCAAAGTAAAGCACAGTTAAAGCCAAGTCGCTGCAGACCGGTTTTTGGACGAACCCAACTTAGTTGGTAAGAAGGAACAAAGCGATCGGTGTGGCGAAAGAGAAAGCGCATTCACACAGCTCTGTTGACGTGTGCAATGCCCCATTTCCAAATAGGTAAATAAATAAATAAATAAATAACCATGGCCGCCAGCGTGGTCAAGGCGCCCAAGTGTCCGCGTCGGGGATCGGCCAAGGATGTGGCCAAGAATACGACGGTGGCGGTGCAGAAGGTCAAGAACAACAACGAGGCCAACTGGTAAGTGGCGATCAAAACAAAAGACTTCAACTGCAATCTACGGGAATCTTTCTCTTACCAGGAACTGGTGGCTTCTGCTGGCCACCGTCTTTCTCATCACCTTTGCCACACGCTTCTACAAGGTTACCGAACCGGATCACATATGGTAGGGAATTAATTAACTTATTACATTTTAAAGAAAATATTAATCAACAAACACATATTCTCCAGTTGGGATGAAACGCACTTTGGCAAGATGGGCAGTTGGTACATCAACAGAACCTTCTTTTTCGATGTTCATCCACCGCTGGGCAAGGTAAGAGCTTAGAGAAATACTTAAAAAATAGGGAATGATCTTAATTCCTATACTACCTAAAGAAATGTTCTTTTTTACCCTACTATCACTATTCCAAGTTTATTATTTAAACGTTGAAAGGCATTATTAATTGCATATTCACATGAAATTTAAGTTCATTTTAATGAAGAACTGTTTTAGTTATTATAGAACTAGGAGAAATACTTAAAAAATAGGGAATGATCTTAATTCCTATACCACCTAAAGAAATGTTCTTTTTTACCCTACTATCACTATTCAAAGTTTATTATTTAAACGTTAAAAAGCATTATTAATTGCATATTCACATGAAATTTAAGTTTATTTTAAATTCAAACCTATTTAAATTATTATAAAACTACTAAAAAAAATCTTTAAAAATAGGAAATGTTTTTAATTCCTATACTACCTAAAGAAATGTTCTTTTTTACCCTACTATCACTATTCAAAGTTTATTATTTAAACGTTGAAAGGCATTATTAATTGCATATTCACATGAAATTTAAGTTCATTTTAATGTACAACTGTTTTAATTATTATAGATACTATATAGATACCTTTAGGATATATTTAACATTATTCCCTTACCTTTTTTAAGATGCTTATTGGACTCTCTGGCTACTTGACGGGATATAATGGAACGTTTCCTTTTGAAAAACCAGGCGATAAGTACAATGAGACTCGTTATCAGGGGATGCGATATGTGAGTTATCAACGAAAGATGTATTTAATACATATATTAAAATATTTTCTATATTCCTTAAATACAACTAATTAAATCAATTGAAATCCCTTTAGTTTTGCACCACCCTGGGGGCCCTGATAATGCCCATGGGCTTCGACACTGTCTACGATTTAACGCGCTCCCATGAGGCGGCCCTGCTCTCGGCAGCCTATTTAATATTTGGTAATTATGTAATATATATAATAATATATATAAAATTATATAATTCCCCCTCCCCTGGCAGATGTGGGTCTCCTTACCCTCAACCAGTACATCCTCCTTGATCCCATCTTGCTATTCTTCATGATGGCCTCCGTTTGGGGCATGGTGAAGATCTCGCGAAGCACCTCCTCGGGTGGCTCCTACTCCCTCCGCTGGTGGTTCTGGCTCTTCCTCACCGGCACCATGTTATCCTGCACAATCAGTGTGAAGTTTGTGGGTCTGTTTGTGGTCCTTCTGGTGGGTTTGCACACGGCCACCGAGCTGTGGCTCATCCTGGGCGATCTGGGACAGCCCATTTGGGAGACTGTGAAACAGGTGGCCTGTCGGGCCATTGCCCTCATTGCATGGCCCATTCTCCTCTACATTCTCTTCTTCTACATCCACCTGAGTGTCCTGAACAGGAGTGGCAATGGCGATGGCTTCTACAGCTCCGCTTTTCAGTCCCGCCTCATCGGGAACTCCCTGTACAATGCCAGCATGCCGCGGGACGTGGCCTATGGCTCCGTGGTGACCATTAAGAACCACAAGACGGGCGGCGGCTATCTCCATTCCCATCATCATCTATATCCCAAGGGATCGGGAGCCAGGCAGCAGCAGGTTAGTGAAAGATACAGGTTTTATATAGGGAAATTAGTTAACAACAAACACTCTGATTTCAGATCACCACCTACACACACAAGGACGAGAACAACAAGTGGCTCATTAAGCCGCACAACAAGCAGCGAGTGGCCAAGGATAAGCTGCACTTGCTCCGCCATGGGGATCTCATCCGGCTGGAGCATGTGGCGACCAAGAGGAATCTGCATTCCCATGGCGAACCGGCTCCAATGACCAAAAAGCATCTACAGGTCACGGGCTACGGCGAGGTGAGTACTCTCCCAGGGAAAAGTTTAATATGTATTATTGATAAAATAATTAAGTACAAAACCATATTGAAAATTGCACAAAGTTTAATTTATCAACATTTTAAACAACGAAAAAAGATCGAGAGAATGAAAACTACTTTGGGAAACCCAGGTTTACATACCCTTGCAGTTTTGCAATTGCATTTTAGGATTGCATCGAAAATCGATCATAACTAAGCTTAAAATATTCTCATTTCTTGAATTAATATTTATTCATATTTATATATGTCAATTTTTTCCAAAAAATCAAAGTTTAAAAAACTCATAACTAAGCCAAAAACGCATTAATTTCTATTCAGAAAGCGGCAGTATGTTAATTTTTAGCAGGTTAACAAAACTGCATACTCCGTTTAAAATGTAAATTTTTGTCAGATTTTTGCAAATTTTCATGATGTAACCCCTTTCCTTTTTTTACAAAAATGGGAAATTTCGGAAAAATTTTTTTTTCGGCCGGATAAAGCTAGAAAGAAAGGCCTGTAGATGCTGATCAAGAATATATATGATTTATAGGGTCGGAAATGACTCCTTCACTTTCTTTTAAGCTTCTGACTGAAGGGCCATTACCATTTTTTAATCGATAATATTTATATTTTATATGCCAATTTATTCGACAAATCAAAATTTAAAAATCTCATAACTAAGCCAAAACTACATTAATTTTAATTCGGAAAGCAGTCCCATGTTAGTTTTTACTATATTTATAAATCTGCATACTCAATATAAAATTTCGAAAATTTTCAATTTTTATCAATTTTTCAATATTAAAATTGTACAATTTTACCCCTTAAAAAATTCGGAAAATTTGAAAAATATTAAAATTTAGCCGAACATAGCTAGTTCGACTCGGCTTTTGATGCTGATCAAGAAAATATATGATTTATAGGGTCGGAAATGACTCCTTTGTGAGTTAGAAGCTTCTGACTAAAATTATAATCCAATTTTTGAGTCGGTATTTTATATGACATTTTATTATACAAATCATAGTTTAAAAATCTCATAACTCAGCCAAAATAGCATTAATTTTAATTCGGAAAGCTGTCCTATGTTAATTTTTACTACATTAATAATTTTGCATACTCAATTTGAAATTAAGAACATTTTACATTTTTATCAATTTTTCAACATTAATATTTCCAAATTTTACCCCTTAAAAAATGTTGAAAATTTCAAAAAAATTAAATTTTTACCAGACATACCTAGATCGACTCGGCTGTTGATGCTGATCAAGAAAATATATAATTTATAGGGTCGGAAATGACTCCTTTGTGAGTTAAAAGCTTCTGACTAAAATTATAATTTTTTTTGCCGATATTTATATATATTTTTATCTGACAATTTTTCTATAAAAACAAAATTTCAAAATCTCATAACTAAGGCAAATAATCATTAATTTTAATTCGGAAAGCAGTCCTATGTTAGTTTTTATTAGGGTAATAAATCTGCATACTCAATTTGAAATGTTGATAAATTGACATTTTGATCATTTTTTTTAAATTTTAACCTTATAAAATTTAAAAAAAATTGTAAAAAAAATTTTTTCTGCCAAAGACGGCTAGATCGACTCAGCTTTTGATGCTGATCAAGAAAATATATAATTTATAGGGTCGGAAATGACTCCTTCATAGCGTAACAAGCTTCTGATTAAAATTACAACGCTATAAATGGCAAAATATTAATATTTTCGTTATTATTTTTATATTTTTTAACAATTTCGAATTTCCCACTTTTAGAACGGTGCCGGCGATGCCAACGATGTGTGGCGCGTGATGGTTGTGGGCGGCAAGGTCAACGAGACGGTGCACACGGTGACCTCCCGCCTGCGCTTTATCCACCTCTTGCAGAACTGCGTCCTGACCTCCAGTGGGAAGCAGCTGCCCAAGTGGGGATTCGAGCAGCAGGAGGTGTCCTGCAACCTCAATGTGCGCGACAAGAATGGACAGTGGAACATCGAGGACAACGAGCACAAGTTGTGTGAGTAACAATATAATATATAAATAATATTTAATATTATATTAATTACATTTATTTAATCATTTTGGACAGTGCCCAGTGTCAGTTTCAGCATTTATGCGCCAGGATTCTTTGCACGCTTCCTGGAATCGCACGCCGTCATGCTGCAGGGCAACGCGGGACTGAAGCCCAAGGAGGGCGAGGTGACCAGTCGACCCTGGCAGTGGCCCATTAATTACAGGGTAACATATTGATAATCTAAATATTTTAAATACATTTCTGTAACTGTTTGAATCTCCCCGCAGGGTCAATTCTTTTCGGGCAACATTTATCGCATATATTTGCTTGGAAATCCGGTGATCTGGTGGAGCAATCTGGTCTTTCTGGCCCTCTTCGTGGCTGTCTTTCTGTACAATGCCATCCTGAAGCAGCGACAAGCTGGTCTAAACCAATACCAGGTCGAAATGCTTCAGTATGAGCTGCAGCACTCCCAGGGAGATTGCCAGGCTGTGGCCCAGGGCGAGGACAGTGAACCCTCGACCGCGGAGCTCTGCAGGTGCTGTCCTTCGCTGGAGCAGAGGCTCAAAAAGGAGCAACAGGAGCAGGAGGAGCAGGAACAGGAGCTGTCCAATGGGGATTCCCCCTCACCGGCCATGTCCTTGCAGGCGGGCGCCTGGCTTTTTGTGGGCTGGGTGCTTCACTACCTTCCCTTCTGGGCCATGGGAAGAGTGCTCTACTTTCATCACTATTTTCCGGCACTAATCTTTAATTCCCTGCTCACTGGTAAGCTTAATATATTACTTATTTCAGGTCTTCTTTTGGATTTCATATATTTATTCCCAGGTGTCATGTTCAACTACCTGATGCGCTCCCTCTCCAAGTGGATCCAGCATGTGATCCTGGGCGTGGTTCTTTCGATTCTCGTCTATAGCTTTGTCCGATTCTCGCCTCTGGCTTATGGCATGAGCGGTCCGCTGGCCAACGAGCCCAACTCCACGATGCACAGCCTCAAGTGGCTGTCCACCTGGGAGTTTTAGTTAATTTTAAATATAATCTAGCTATTTTTTTTTCTAATATTTATGGTAGTTTTAAAAATGTTTAATTTATAGATGCTTAGGTTATATTTTGCACAACAATTAAGTCACAAATAAAACAGTAACCAAGTGTAATATGTCGAAATATTATTCATAATCCTTTTCTTTTTATAAATTTAATTCAATATATATCTTGGTTATTTATTTACTTTTCTACTTTCCTTTTACTTTTTAATTGTAAACAACAGAAAAACAAGAGAGGAAGCCGAAGCTAATGAAACCTTACAGTCTGCAATTGAGTTATAGGAAATTATAGAATTTTTTATATGACCATTTTTTTGCTAAAAAAACAAAACTTCAAAATCTCATAACTCCGTCAAAAATTCATTATTTTTAAATCGGAAAGCAGTCCTATGTTAGTTTTTCTACGGATAATAAATCTGCATACTCCGTTTAAAATGTTTAAAAATTGAGATTTTTATCAATTTTAACGGTTATACATTTTTTAAAAATTGTAAAATTTTTTTAAAAATTACATTTTTTCTGGACACAGCTAGTTCGACTCGGCTGTTGATGCAGATCAAGAATATATATGGTTTATAGGGTCGGAAATGACTCCTTCATGAGTTATAAGCTTCTGATTTAAATTATAATACATTAAAAGGGTATAATTACACCTGTGCGTATACGTAATTTTTGGGACTATAAATGTCCTGAAAAAAAATTAAAACCCTAAAGAACACGAAAGTTAATATATTTATTGATAAAATATCATAGCAAGATATCAAAATAGTTCGTTTATTCAAAGAAATATAATCTATTTACCCCAAACACAAAACAAAAAACATTTCAAATATGTCGATATTATCCTTATTTGAATATATCAACATTGAAATAATATTTTTTAGTTATTCACACTTGGCATGAATATTTTTCGAACCTTTCAAAGTTCGACTTATCAAACTATTTCGACATGTATCGAAATCGATCGATAAATATTCATCTATGGCAAGTGTATATATAAGTTAACTTCCCTCGAAGTTTTGAAAAGAAACACTTAATAATTATCAAGAGTGTTCTTTGTAAAAGTGCAACCCCGATGAAATAGGCAGCTTCCTTTTATTATTTACGAATAGATATAATATTTAATGTATAGATGGGGCTTAAATCTAAGTACGGTTAGAAAACAAAAACAAAAAAAAAGCCATAGCGAAAGAAAGCAATAATATAAGACTATGCAACGATGGACGAGAGGACGAGGAGTTCAGGACTCCTCCTCCTCCTCCTCCAGGTTCATCATCATCCATCATCATCATCATCAATCGAAGATGCCCAGCTCATCGAAGCGGCGCAGGGCAAAGCGTAGGGTATCCGTGGTGCGGGGATTGGAGGAGAACATCAGCTGGACCTTCTTCTTGGCAAAGTCCTGATCCGTGAGGGCCTCGATGCTGATGTCATACGAGTCCTCCTTCTTCATGGTGACCATCGGCAGGAAGGCGTACGAGGAGAAGAACCCATACAGCTCCCGGGCACGGATCTCCTGCTGAATGTCCGCATAGCTGGGCACGAAGGTCGAGTGCATCCTCTCAAGGCTGTCGCGGAGCGAGGCATAATAGGTCTGGATGAGGAACTCTCGCCGGTGGATGAGCACGTCCAGCTGGACGCTGCTGTTCAGGAAGAAGTTGATGTCGCAGCCAGGGCTCCCGAAGAAGCTGTTCTGGAAGTCCACCTGGCGGGGCCAGCAGAGAAATATTCATTTAAAATATTATTACAAAAATGGATAAAGTGACCCTTACGAATATGGCATCAATGGGCTTGGTGGGCTGATCGTCATCGTATTTGTACATAAAGTTATTCACCCAAAGATCGCCATGATTCAGCACGGTGATCTCGCCGGGCAGGGGTCTTCCGGTCATCACCAGGTTCTCCTTGATGTCGTCGCAATGGCGATGCAGCTTCTCCGCCAGCAGCTCGTAGCCGGGCCACTTGGCCACCACGTTGGCCAGGGTGCGGCACTGGAGGGTCATGAAGGTAATGAAGCGCTCGTTGGTCCTTATGTAGTTCTCGTCCAGCATGCCGCTGGTGAAGTGCTCCCGGACACTTGGCTCCTGCAAAAACACACAGATTCAAATATTCCAAATTTGCCAATCAAATAAATTATGAAATTAAAATAGGAAACAGATCCGATATTAACCCATTTCTGATTTCGATTTGATAATTGCTTTTGGGATGGAAAAGTTCAGAGGAAGAAAAGAAAACGAAACAAAAAAACAAGACTTTCACTCATGAAATAAATATTTAAAATGAGACGTATAGCTTATACATCTATTAAAGGTTTATAAACAGTTTTTAAACTGAAAAGAAATACTTTAAATAGGTGAAAGCATAGGTAAATTAACAATAATTGATTGTAAACTAATTTAAATATTAGTATTTCTTAAGATTTTAATTATTTAAAGCCAAAAAGAAGTACTAATCCATTTTGGAATATTTAATTCATGCACATGTTTAATTTCTTTCATATTTAAAAAGCAAAAGTAAACTTATTACAACTTTGCAATACCAAGTCTAATATTTTTATTAAAATCTGATAATAATCTATAATATTTTGCAGTTCTACTTTCCATAATATATTGCTTACAATTCCTAGAATAAAAAAAATACACTCTAGCAACACGTTGACGTCGGTACTTTGTCAGCAAAAAAAAACCCTGTTCCTGATAGACAACAAACAGATGCATTCATTATTTGTACTTTGCAATTAGTTTAAGTTTCATTTAAATTATTGATAAATGCTAATGCAAAATACAGAGTATAAAAATTGTATAAGTGTGAAAATCATGAGAGAGACTTTTGTGAATTAAAATGTTAAATACATTAATAAAATATTTAATACAGTTTACTATTTGATCTTGATAATATATTGTATGTTGCTTTTAAAGCAAATATTCTAAATGAAATTGCGATTTAATGAATTTATTATCTGCATATTTTATATACGTTTTAATTTACTTTGCTATTTTATATAATATATAAATATATATATAGCAAGTCTCGTGATCAGATTTATAATAAATATATATATAATTAATAATTGTATTTCTTGGCTTGCACTTTTGTTGTTTTGTTTAAAAAAACAAAACCATGACTAAAAGATTGCATTGTATTCCAGTATATTCCTATATATATATATTTATATATATTATTTTAATTCTTGAATTTATTAGCGACCTTTGCTATTCCATTTCCGCTTAACTTTTGAGGTTTTTCGTTAATTTAAAAGTTATTGAACGCTAGAGAAGACCAAAGTTCGATTTATAGATTTCTTTTTAAGATATAAAATTATAAGAAAAATGTAAGAATGTTATGTATTACAAAGCTGTAATTTAGTTTTTGTGGATTTAAATATAAGCTAAGTTTTCTGTATCTATCTAGAAAACCTATTATGAATTTGGCTTGATTTTAACACATTTTCCAGATAGTAAACTAAAATTATGGACTTTTTTGTCAGATATTTTAATAGTGAAAGAACTTTGATTAATATATGTCAATGATGGGTAATAATATAAGGTTAAATAAAACTATTAAAGACTAAAAACCCTTTTCAAATATTATAACATATCAAAATGTATGTTAATTTCTAGTGAATAGCAAAATTCTAAAGCTTCTCTTTGAGTATGAAAATTGAAAGTAAATTATCTTAAAGAAACCCTTGTAAAAATATAATTAAAAAAAGAAAATCGATAAGCATATTGAACTCACCTTCTCGGCCAGCAGCATGGAGCTGGCATGGAACTTGCCCAGCTTCTTCAGGATCACCACGCAGTGCTCCTCGTTGAGGCCACTCTGCCGGCTGGCCAGCTTGTAGCCGTACTGGGTGAGGTCGTCAAAGACGATCGTCTGGATGGGCTCGCGGGTGGTGTAGAGGCACTTGGCCCCGAACTTGGAGCCATCGCCAATGAGGACCTCCAGCTTGCCCAGGACATCGAAATAGAAGATCTTTTCGCGCAGATAGACGGCCAGTTCCTCGAGGAATTGGGTGGCCGGCGTTATGGCAATGCTCTTGACAATCAGGGCCAACTCCTCGTCCAACTGGCGCTTGCTGCTCCTGTATAGAGCCTTGGCCCTGTAGATCTTGCTACAGTAATTCTCGCCACCGCCGCCGCTGCTCTCGGCAAAGATGATCTTCTTGATGTCCACGCGCATGTCCCTCAATCCATCCTCCAGGGCGGCCTTGAAGAAGTCCTCGTTGAGGTACTTGGGCGGATCCTGGCCGCGGCTTTTCTCTTCCAGCTTCATGTTTGTGCAGCTGCAGCAGGTCCTGGCTCTCTCTCTCTCTCTATTCACTATCTCTTTCGAATTGAATTCAAATCCAAGGGGGCGGGACACCTGCTCTGGCGGCGGCTGCTACGTCTGGGAAACTGTGGCCCCGCCAGCGGACTCCTCTAAATATAAGCCCTTATCAGGTGCGCTCGCTGCCTGCGCCGCCGTCGAAGTCGAAGTCGAAGTCGACGCAACTCGGCTGGACTGCATACTACTCACAGAGATATTTGCCTGACCATATCTCTATCAACGGCACGGGATTATATGTTAGTAGCACCTATATACGCTGCTACAGGGGCTCAGCACAGGGGGGGCGGTGGAATCGGTATTCCATCGTTTAGAAAGCTTAATTTCACTTAAAGAGAGGGTTTTTCTTTACTTAGTTGCACTCTAAAAGAGGTTTTTAAGCTGTAATAAGCGAATCTAAAAGAGAGAAGGAAAACCTTCCAAGTTTCCTTTGATTTACGGGTTTAAAAAGGCTCAAAAATAAAGAAAATCTTGCAAATCTAGCAAAAGCATCGTTTAGAAAGCTTAATTTCAGTTAAAGAGACAGTTTTTCGTTACTTAGTTGCACCCTAAAAGAGTTTTTTAAGCTGTAATATGAGATGTTTTCTTAACTCTTACAGCAAAGCTTAAAGAGATAAGGAAAACCTTCTAAGTTTCCTTTGATTTACGGGTTTAAAAAGGTTCAAAGATGGAGAAAATCATGCAAATTTAGCAAAAGCATCGTTTAGAAAGCCTAATTTCACTTAAAGAGAGGGTTTTTCTTTACTTAGTTGCACTCTAAAAGAGTTTTTTAAGCTGTAATATGAGGGCTTTTCTCTTCTCTTACAGCAAAGCTCATAAAGAGAAGGAAAACCTTCCAAGTTTCCTTTGATTTTCGGGTTTAAAAAGGCTCAAAGATGGATAAAATCCAGTTACACTCAGTAGCAAACGAGAGAGAGTCTTTCGATTTTCTAGTAGAAATCAAAGAGAGGTTTTTCCCCACCATTACAATTGAGAGAAATTGCAAAATAATAGATTGAAAAAACAAGAGATAGAAACCCTTCTTATAGTATTATTTTTCTCAAGTATCTAGAGCAGAACTGATCAAATATATCCGGGTTAAACCTTACACAAAAGCTGTTTTAGTTACTAATAAAATCCACTTCTTTCCCTCTGAAAAAAGGGTTTCTAGTCCTACTAAAACTTTACAAATTTCCCAATTTTAGGTATAGTTTACTATATATTTTAGGTTAAATGCCCCCCCCCCTAGTTTTTTCTAGCCCCTGGCTTGCATAAATACACCCTCGTCGTACCGATCCAAATCGATCTCCTCTCGCACGCCGCACACATCCGTAATTATCTAGGCGAGCCGACCATCGACGTGGTCCGCATACCCCAAATAAGTATATAAAATAATATAATTAATAATAAAATAAATAAATACTCGTATATAGACATAAGAATGGGACATATAGCAGTGCTTTAGTGGCGCTGTCATCGGTCTAAGTAAATGATAAATGCGTCGTCTCTGAATCCGCACATCACCATCGACCAGATTCCGATTAAACATACTTCTCTTGGCACTTGTACTTGACATATCGCAATTATAATATATATACATTCTAATATCAAAAGAAAGCGGAACTGGAGCTGCGAGACTCGAGACAGTTGCACCTGTGACAGAACCTCCATGGAATACTTAAATTGACGATTACAAAATCCAGCACGTGGTTGAATTTTAATCTAATCACGAGACAGGAATATCAATCTAATCGATTGCGAGCCTAATTGGGTTTAATTGTCGTTAATTAATCCACCAGAAAGATCGATAAGGAGCAACCTGAAGGAGTTTGTTAATTCGTAAAGGATTTCCCTTTTGTTTGGAAAACATTTATGAATACATACTAAATACCTGGGCTTGGAAATACCCAATCCTGGCCCTGACCTGTGATTTCCAATGTGATATATCATTCCCGTAGGCCGATAAGCATTAGATGACAGATCTTGGAAAAACAAAGATCGTAGAGTGCAATGTCTTTGTTTTGATTTGCAGCTGCCAATATGTACTTATTTCTATACTATAAACTTAAATATACATAATATATATATTCGAATCAAGGCATTGCGTCATCTTTTGCCTAACGGATCGTGCTATATTGTCCGATATACTATAATTATATTGGTTGTAAGAAGAGACACTACGTGATACCGATAAACTTGGCTAGAACTTGCGTAAGTCTTGACTGACGACGGATGACTCAGGGTTCGTGAAACTATACGCAAATCCGGATCGAACTTGACAACAATGGAGGCGCTATAATATATATATTTGCCTGATCTGTATCGCGTCTGGCCGCCGTCTAATTAGTTCCCCATGCGTCTGCCAGATCGCACTACAGTTGGACATCGGTCTTGACCCCAGAATTTGCCAGCTTCTGTGATTATAATCACATTAATAATACACCAAAACAAAAGGAAATTATCTATTTAAGCATTTGTTGAATAACTATTTCAAATGTTAAGAGAAATTAAATAAGAAATTTCCCTTACAACTAGGAAAATGATGTAAAAGAAGCCCAAGGGAGAAACCTGGCTAATAACTTACGACACTAAATAGTTCTCTTTCTCTGAATCACCCTAGTTTTTTTGTTCTGTGTACGTTTCTTGGCGTTTCAGACTAATCTCAAATGACGCATTGAACTATACAAAGTGTGTGATTTCTAAATTTAAAAGCAATTAAGTGACCATGACAATGGTAAAGGTGCAACACATCTAGGATCTGGACCTGGGACCCGTATCTGCATCGCGCGTCTCCGTACTTTTGGTTTCGATTTCGATTTCGGTTTCGGTTTCTTTTTCTGTTTCCGAGGGGCGCCGTTGGAGCTCCATAATTGGAGGTCACTTTGGGTTATCTTTGGAGCTCGGAGCCTGAAGCTCAAGAGCTCTGGAGCTCTGGAAGCGAGGCCAAACGGAAATTGGAATAAGAGATACGCCATTTCTTTTTTGGGCGGTGTGGGAAACGAGACATCTGGGGTCAAAGATCAAGTATCTATATAAATTGCAAGACAAGACATGATATATGTTTTAAGGTTTGTATATAAAATTAGCTATAATATAGGAACATTCTGGAAAATTCGATTATCGATTATCGATTATCGTAATCTAACAGACAGTGTGACCTACGATGATTTCGCAATCGGTTTGTTTGAAGAGCCCTAAGCAGGCAAATACAAAACCTTCACACACTTCCAGTGCTCGCATAACTCCCCGACTGACTGACCACTAGTAATAACATATATATATATATATGTTTATAGGAACAATCTGGGTAAACACTGATTGGCTAGGGAATCCTATCTGAAGATCGTAGAGCGGCGGCATACCTCAATAGATAAACATTACGACTCGCAACACAGAACAGCAAACAAATTGACCAGGAAATAATAGTTTTGATCTGTTAAACATTAAATTGAACTAAAAATCAAGTATTGAAGAGTGTTAAGTAATATAAAAACTCTTAAAAAATACATATTAAAGAATGCTATTTATGATAGTTACAAATATAGGAGTTCAATTGATTTATCAATCATTTAGCAAGCCTTAAAGTATGACCAAAATATTTACATAAAAATTGCTTAGTACATCATACTTCTAGACACATTTCAAGTTAATTTTAAAATAGTTTAAATTTATAAATTATAGAAAACCCCTAAGAACTTAGGTAACTCTCCGATCGACTGCAACCATAACTTTGTCTATGGTAGTCCTCGAATTGTGTCAAAACTCAAGTAGCAACAATATGTTTACTTAGCTTTTCATGTCGCATTCGTATCTGGCGTTGTTTTCTTTTTTTCTATTTGATTTTATTTTCATTTTGTGGATGGCGGCATGCCGCCAAAGTCAGATTGCGATAGAGCCCATAGATGAGATAGTCGCGAATTTGCTGCTGCGCAAAAAGTGCATTAAACTTGAAGTTCAAGTCTTGAACCAAATGCCGATTGCCAATTCCCAATAATTGTCAATAGAATTGCCAAGAACACAAGTATATGTAGTAGGAACGAGCCCTCTTCAGGCCATAAACTCAATTGGCTAACATGAAGAGTCTCCCCGAAATCCTCCCCAAAGTCAAATAACATCGAGAGTGAGGAGCTTAAATGATATGATTTTTAGAAAATCTCCATGAGAAAATATAATAGAAAGAAAACCATAAGAAAGGTTATGGTAACACTTCAAATACGCCAGAAACTTGGAATTAAATTATATTAAATACATACTTGCATATATAATAAAAGGTAATAAATAATAATCCCTGCAAAGCAAAATATTAATTAATAAATATGTGAAAAGAGTCCAACAACTGTGGGACCTTAATATATTTAAAAATAATGAATGTATGTACTATATTTATTTTGTTTTTTAAGGTGTTTATTATTGTCTCATGTTCTGTGAACATAATACTGATGTAAATTCAGTTCAATAGTTAATATATTATATAAATTATGAATATGTTAATATCAATAGTTTAGTAATATCAATATTAGCACATTGTATAAATTATAAATATACTAACATTATAGTCATCAAGTAATTCCATCTACTTTACGTAGAAAGCTGAAGTTGAGGCTCCGTTTCCTGTGGCATTTCCAATGCCAGTTCCATATCCGTTTCCGGAGTAGGCTTGGCCATTGAACATCGAGGTCATTGGCTGTGGGAGTGACGATGGCACCGGGGCACGGGGAACAGTGGGCATAGTTGGCATCTTGGACAGTTGATCTCCCTGGCCCACATCCTTGGAGTCGGAGCGAAGGCCTTGCTGGCGTTGTCCGCTGTACAGGCTTGTCTCGCGTCCTTGGAACTGATAGCGACTGGCCTCGGTGTACTCCACCGCCTCCACCGCCTCCACCGCCTCCGTCTTCTTCTTTTGCTCCTCAAACTCCACTTGCAGTTGAGCCACAAGCTCCATGGTCTCCTTCTTGCTCTGAATGCGTGCCTCCAGCTTCTGCTGCTGCTCCCTTCTCTTTTGCTCACGATCCTCGAAGGTCATCAGTTTCTGCAGCTCCTTCTTCTCCAGGAGGCGAGAGAAAAGCTTCTGCTCCTTCTCCTTCTGACGACGAACCTCGGAGTCCATTCCGTTTTGATCCTGCATGCAAGATTGGGTCTGCTGCAGGCAAAACATACGCTGCTTCACATTCTTGGTGGCATCCATCCAATCTGGAAGGGTACGGCGGGGCGGGGCCTGCTCCTGCTCCTGCTTCTGCTCCTGGGGCTTCTGCTCCCGCTGCTCCTGCTCCTGCCCCTGCTCCTGCTCCCGCTGCAAGCGCTCATGACGCCCAATGCGCTGGGCGGTCAGAGCACGTTGATTACGCAGGAAAGCCTGACGCTGCTCCGGCGTCTGATTGGCCTCACGCCATTCGCTCACAAAGTGATAGTCCTTATTGCTCGGCGGCTTCAACTGGGTGAGATCCCCTTGCACACCATGGCCTTCAGATCGGCAAAGGTTTGGTACTGCTCGGAATAGTAGACCTGCGGCAGATGCGGATAGTACTCCAGGTTGCTGGCAAAGAAGGGTTCGTTGCCATCCTTCTTCGTGGCCTTGTCCGAACTATCCGTGCTGGAATTGTCCTTCTTTTCGTCTTCCATGGCCTTCAAGCTGGACAAAGTGCGGCACAGCTCGCTCACACTGATCTCGGGCACCTTGTAGTCCTCGAACTTCGTCGGCTTCTTGGGTGCCTCCTGTCCTCCTGGGTAAATCCTTGGTTTTTGGTAGAAGCTGGGGTACGACATGGGCCCTGCATTAAACTTGGGTCCTTGGTGAAAATTTTGAACTTCGGGTCTTGTGCAATGGCATGCCATTTGTTGCAGTTCACTTCTTGCTTCAGTTCTTGACCCTGGTGGTTCTGGGTACCCTTATAGATGGTCTGATCATAGTACGATCCTGGCTTGAGGTAGACATTCGGACTTTGGCTGGCCTGCGGCACCTGGCAGGTCTTCTGCCCAAGGTACAACTTTCGCATTTGGAAGGCCCTCTGCTCTGGGGTGGCCTTCGGTTCCGGCTTTTGGGTCTTCTTGCCCGAAACACTCCAACCATTGGTCAGAGTTCCATTCTGGTAATCGGTTAAGGTCTTGTTAGTCTGTAGGGAAAAGAATTTTAAAGAAAATCACTTCTCATCGGTGGACAAGCACTTACCCAACCAGTCATGTTTTTCTTCTGAGTTTCCTTGACACGATACATCTTTCAAAGTTCGACTATTTGGGCTATTTTTTTTAGGGGAAAGAAGGAAGAAATCTTTTTTTTTTTAATAATTAGTAAAATATTTCCCAATTGGTGTGGAAAATATGTTCTTATTTCTCACTTTTATTAATTAAATAAATTTAAATTAAATTTATTTGGTAACTCAATAAGAATTAACACACAAAAGCTTTTCCAATTGAAATTAAATAATTAATTAAATTTCCTAATTTGTGCGGAATTAATATTTCTTCATTTTGATTTATTTAATAAATTTAAATTAAATTTATTTGGTAACTCAATAAGAATTAACACACAAAAGCTTCTCCAATTGAAATTTAATAATTAATTTAATTTCCTAATTTGTGCGGAATTATTAATTCTTCATTTTGATTTATTTAATAAATTTAAATTAAATTTATTTGGTAACTCAATAAGAATTAACACACAAAAGCTTCTCCAATTGAAATTAATTAATTATTTTAATTGATTTTAGATTCATTCCCATTATTTAATTGCAAACTGCAAGGGTATAAAAACTCCGACTTCATTTAGCTTAACTTAATTTTTTTGTTTTTAGTTGTTTTTTATTAATTGTTTTTGTATTATAAATATTTCAGTATTACATTAATTCATTATTTGCCTCTCTTTACTATTATTATTTCTTCATCGTTTTTTTAAACTTTTCACTAATTTTAGTATTTCATTACAAATTTTTTCTCCCGGCGGCCATTTTGAATTCAGCTTAAAGCCAGTTAAAATTTTTTTACCCGAAAAAATGGTGCATGGCAATGCCATTTTTGTGTTCGCCATGTTTTTTTTCGTTTGCAACAAATACAACAAATTTTCGCATTCCGAATTTCTGTTCGAGAAGAAGAAGAACTTTTTCCACACGTTTTTGGGTTTTCTACTTACCTCTTTTTCAACGGGAAGCTTTTCTTTTCACTTTGGCAAGGTTAAATCTTAATTTTCTTTATGTTTTGCTCTTCAGATTTTTTGGCCAAAGCTTAATTAATTTGTTCCACACCGATTTCAGAGATACTGCTAGTTTTTCTTTATAGCGCACTTTGAAAGAGGGATCTTTTCAAGGAAAGTTAAACACCTTTACTTGGCAAAAGTTGAAAAGTTGATTTCTTCACTTTCACAGGTTCTTCGGGAGTTTCTTTCTTTTTTTTTGGGAGAGCACACGTGTTCACTCGCTGACGATTCCGGTAGAAAGGGAAAATTGTCGGACCCTTTTTGATAAACTTGATTAATATCGATAGTCCTAGGAACCCTGCCAATAATATTCTACACAACCTTTATTTTGGCGGGGGGAACCCTATGAGTATCGCATTAGATACTCTTCTAAGGGAAACCCTGTGACTATCGTTTAGTGGAGACAACTGTACTAATATTGTACTATTTTATACGATATTGGCAATGAAGAATTAATGGAAATCCGAAGAGATGAATATAAAAAGGGAAACATCATGGAAAACCCTACAATAACATTCTGCAAGTATTGTTTTAGTTTTATGGGTAGTTTTATTGAAGGCAACTTTACGATATAGCTAAGGACCTTAGCTTATTGGGTTAAGAATAAGCTAAGTTTAATATCTAATTATACAGGGAACCCTACCACTATAGTTAATAATAATACTTAATATTTTATTCATCGGATATAGGAATAATGAAAATTGTACTTGCAAATTGCTATGTAATTTAATAAGATCTCTGCAAAGAAAACCTCCTCAACACACCGAGTGGGGTGTAGTGACCTATCCCAAGATTCCTCGATTCAAATAAACTCAGTTCCATAACCCCCTCGGGAGAATGCAACATTTTGCATTATTTATTTACATTTTCGCTTTGTTTGCACCATGAATGCGGTTGCGATTGCGCACACACAAACATGGTGGACAAAATAGGGCTGCCAACTTATCAAGGAGTTGCCAGAAATTAGGATAACTGCCATACCAACGGAACTTTCATACCAAACAAATGTATATGTAAACAAAGGATATGTAAATGCAAATTATGTAAATAAGAAATAAATGTGTATTATTCCTTCTCGAATTTAATTTAAAACTCTGACATTTTGACCGCAGCTGTCCATACAAGCAATGCTTTTGTTGTTCCGCCTTCTTTGTGCGTTCTTCATTGTTTATTGTTACCGATTTTCAACTTTTCAATATTTTTCCTCTCCTCCTCGAGTTGAAGCTCGCGTTGCCGCTTAGTTGATAACCGAGCGCCTTTCTGAGCGGATCGTGAAAAGTACAAAAACAATAACAAAAACAAAATATATATCATATATATAAATCCAAATAAAGTCCAGTGTGAAAATCAAGTCTGTAACTGGGTTAATCGCTGCTCCCCAAATGCTGGTGAGTGTGTGTCTTTGTAAAGGATTTATGGGGCTAAAAAATACAACAAAAATTAATTAAATTAAAGACAAATTATTTACCCCACTTTGTACGTATTTTCCCCAATTCGAACTCGAACTCGAACTCTTTGTTGCCATTTCGAAAACCAAACATGACACAGTGACACAATTTCGCGCTTCATGCTCTCTTTTTTACGCCGCTCAGATAATTTGTTTGCATCTCTCCAGTGACTCCATTTGTTTATAAACAAAGTGTATATATTAATTTTTTTTTTGCTATATATGTATACTTTTTTTGCGTGCGTTCTAATTTGAAACTTTAAAGTGTGACTCAAGTGCCTGGCATGTGCACAGCAAGAACAATATTTGTTTTCTTGTGTGCCAGTCTTAATAGTAAGAACAAATATAATTTTGCGCTATATTATTAAGCGATATTTCAATACTAAAGGGTTTAAAGAGGGAGTTTATAACACATATATATATTTTTTAAATGATGATGATGATAATTAATCAGTAAAATTGTTTGTAGATATTTTATTAAGGATTGTAGTAGACATTTAAGTAGAGATTTTCAGTTCCATTATGTTTCAGATACTATTTTATATTCAAATAGACTTTTCTAAAGATTTTGGGGAGAATTTTTAAATGAATTACATTTTTTTATTAGAAAAACAATAAAATAAACTATCTTCGGGAAGCCAAACCTTGCAGTTGTTATAATATATTTACGAAAAAAAACTTAAAAATCGCATAACTAAGTCAAATAATCATTAATTTTAATTCGGAAAGCAGTCCAGAGTTAGTTTTTATTAGGATAATAAATCTGCATACTCCGTTTAAAATGTTAAGAAATTTAGATTTTTATCAATTTTAACACCTAATAAAATTATTAAAAAAATTGTGAAAATTTTTTAAAAATTACATTTTTGCAGGACATAGCTAGTTTGACTCGGCTGTTGATGCTGATCAAGAATATATATGATTTGTGGGGTCGGAAATGACTCCTTCACTGTTTGAGAAGCATCTGACTAAAATTATGATATAATAACCTGAAATTTCTGAAATTACACCTTGAAGTAGTTCGATGTCTGAGATGTTGAGTTATAAATCCCCAACATTTTCTTTCTGTGTGCCGTCGCTCCAAAATAAACCTGAGACGCAATTGACAATGGCATTGGCCAAGTGGGACTGCCCGCTGCGATGCACTTCGTCCGTCCGCTGGATGCGCCTTTTGTAAATTTGCTAATTTCGAATTCAGAAAAATCCAAGTCCGAAGAGAAAATATTGAAAAAATAAAGCAAAAAGCAAGTACGTGCTCTCGGCTGCCTCGCGCTTTTCAGCGGCGTTATCTCTAGCCTCTGGCGAGCGGCTTGTTTAGAATTTTCAGCTCAAAACAAAACGGAAAGCGAAGCGTTTCGCTTATCAAAAATATATATAAAGTAAAATAATACAAAAACGCTGCCAGTCGAGTTTGCAATCAAAGCAAAAAGCTTGCTTCTAGCCGAGTTCTACGCCCGCTGACCAAATCAAAGCGTTTAGCTCAAAAGTAGCCACTCAAAAAAATTAAAATAAAATATAGGGGATATTAAATAATAAAATATTATCCTTTTCACACTTCATACCTCTGGCAAGGATCACCGTTACCTAAATTGGGTTACTTGATCCCTTTATTTATTTGTTTTGCAAGCCTTTCCCCATCTGACCTGCACAGTGGTTCACGGGTATCAAGTACAAAACAAATCCAAAATATCATATATACACATATAAGGGGCAGGTAAAACCCAAGGTAAATCCCATCCAGACACGCGTCTGCTTGTCCTCCTGACTCCTTGGTACCTTAGATCTAAGGATCTCAGACCCGACGTCGGGTTTTAACTACCTGATAACTAATACTGGCCGACCGCTTATCGGTCACAATGTGTTTTTAATCTATTTTTTACAGCCCCCCGGGTCAGGCTGTAATTTCTTATAAATATGCGAATATGCGGGTATCCTCGCCAGTTGACTTCTTGACCCGTGACAGTGAGGTTCTGCGTACCGTGTGAAAATATTAAGTAATAGTAAGGAAAATTATTAAATAATAACAGTGCTCAAGTTATGCAAATAAATTTCTAGAAAATATTTCCTTCATAGTGTTAAACAAGAATTAAATAAATACGTCTTAAAAGTGATAATAAATTAACAACAAAGAAACAAATAAGTGATAAAGTGATGAGTGATTAATAAAAAGAGACCAATAAGGTACTTAATAAAAATAAATAAGGAAACCTATAAAAGAAAGGCATTTGGATATCCCCACAAATCATTAATTTTGGGTAAGTACAAACATTATTTGAAGGAAATTATTTGATTTTTGGTTCTTACATTTTGTATAAATATTTAACTATAATTTGAAAACCGCAAACCTCTAAAATAGTAAATAATTATTATATACTTTACATAGAAGAGGTTACAAATATTTATAATCAATCTAATGGATGTAATGGATATAGAATTTAAGCCATATTTGTCCATTGCCAACCTACTGTGCCTCACAGCTGTTCGCGTCGAGTGAAAGCTTTTGATAAAACGCCGCTAAAGGTCTACAGAGATATCTCTGTACATACATATATAGGTAAGGGGGAGAGAGAAATTGGGGGCTCCTCCATGACCGTGATGATGATGACACCCGAATTGGGTTAGGCGCAATATATCCGAGGCAGGCTGCTCCGTGTGCGAACCTTATTTCGAGGCATGCGTCAGCGAAGCTGCCGGTTTTCTTTGTCTTCGGCGAACACACCGTGTCTGTGACGCCAGCAGCGACGCCAGCAGCGACGTCGACTGCGAAGGCAAAGGCACTGATATGATAAATACCCTACAATAATGATTCTTGAACTTTTCTATTACATTGAGATTTTAGAAATATATTAAATGAGTGCCAAAAAGTATGCAGTATGCAAAAAGTATAACAGTAGGTACCAAATATTAGGTACCAATTTTTGTACCCTAGGAGGGTAAAATAATTTTAATTTGCCATTTTTGACCATATAAAACATATATATTCTTGATCAGCATAAACAGGCGAGTTGATCTAGCCATCTCGGAAGGAAAATAATTTTTTTTTAATTTTTTTAAATTTTATAAGGGTTAAAACTGTCAAAAATGTATCAAAAAATTAATTTATTTAAAATTTTCAATTGAGTAAGCAGATTTTTAAATCGCTTAAAAACTAGTATAGAAAAGTTTTCCGAATTAAAAATAATGCTTTATTGGCTAAGTTATGAGATTTTAAAACTTCGATTTCACAAAAAATAAGTGTCATAAAAATATTATTTATTTAATTATTATTATATTATATATTTATTATTTAATAAAACCTAAGGATTTGGTCAGGGATTTCTAGGATTTTACTGAAAAAAAGCCATAATTTAGCATCATATCAAACTTTTCTATACAAGATATATAGAGAAAGATACTTTCAACTTGTTTTGGCAATTTATGTACGTAAACAATTGTGTTCTTTGTTATTAAAAGAACTTCAACTCGTGTCTAAATAAAAGTCTCGGTTATTGTTTCCTGTGACCAAGTGTTGATAGTGTTTTATAGATAACTGTTTCGGTGTTTATATTTTTAGCAAGGTATCTCTTAGTCGGGTTAATGGCCGACTTCCATGCTTGCTCTCCTGCGCATTTGAACTCTCGATATATTCTTGGAATTATGCACAAAGACCGTAGAGCTATATAGAGATACTATATAGACTATGGGCCACTTGTGCACTCTGTGCATACCGCTTGAGAAACAGAGAAAGATAGAGAAAGAGAGGGAGAGAGAGTGAGACCTCTCTGCCGCTGCCTGCGGCGACAGCAGCAGCAGCGGCGACA